GAACACAACGTTGTTCCAGGAAGATGGAGCACCGTGTCACACTGCTATAAACATCCAAAAGTAGCAGGAGAAAATGGTATCCAGAAGTTGCCCTGGCCGAGCCAATCTCCTGACATGAACCCCATCTAAAACCTCTGGGCTATACTCGACCGGCAAGTCAAGAAACAACAAAAAAAAATCAACTTCAAAGAGCGATATACTCCAAGTTTTGAAGCAAGAGTGGGCGAAAATCCCACAATCTAGAATTGACGAGATGCCCCAAAGGATCAACGAACTGCACGAAGCGAAAGGAAGATCTACTAGATATTAATTAAATTACAAATATATCAATTCATGTGAATATGACTGAAAAATTTTATTTTTTTTTCTGAAAAGGTGGTGTCTATTTACTTGTGATCACGGTGTTTATATAGCAATACACTCTTCCTAACAATCCTTGGAGTGAAAAGGTTCAGAAACGTTGGAAAAAGTTTAAATGCATGTTTTCATGCCTTTTAAATGTCACTTATAAAATGACTTATTTTCACGTGCCCAATAGAATGATTTCATATATATCTAATAATATACTCGTGGCATACCTATTTCATGGTCTAATAAAGCGCATGAAAATTTAGCATTTCACAATTTCATTGACCTTGCGTGAAAATATATAGCACCCCTCACGGGGATTATAGTAATAAAATTAAATATTTATTGCATCTTCATGTTAATCCTTACTATGCTGTGATATCACATTCATTGAAAACTTCTAATAATTGTAGCTATGACAAACAGGTTACACATTGTATTCCACGCAGATACTTCAGTTGTCATTAATGCTATTAATATACAAAAATTAACTGACATCATGAAAGGATCTGCTAAATTCAGCAAACTGTCCAGCAGTAAATTTCAAATGTTTCGTTAGGTTGTGAAGTAAGTTCATCACAGTCTAATTCTTACTTTTTTCTTAAACACATAGATAGTTGTGTTCTTTTTCAAAATAATACCCTTTACATTCGGTTAATACAATACACCATTTTCATCACCCTACTGAATTGAAATATTTAATCCACGTCCGACCTATACCACAGATGATTTAATTATATACCTTTGTTTATTAAAAACTCTGCACATTTCATCCCTGCTAGCAGCATCCCCCCTTACACCGTACCCATACATCTATCAAGCAAATTCGTAAAGCGTGAAAACAGTTATTATCAAAACGTACCAGTTTTCTGTTAAAATTACACATTTTCCAAGGATAATGCCCCTGGGCACCCAATATATCTTAGCCACTCGTTTTCCTTTTATATAACTCTCCCTACGTCCGCTTCCCCTTTGTAGCTTTCCGCCCATTTTATTCGTGGTTTAAATGTATAACTACAAACTGCGCGAGGAGATGGTTTTATCACTTAATTTAGAATGGACAGCTCAACAATTAACAAACAGATTGGCTACATTTCAAATGAGGAGGAGGGGGGGGACTTCTGTATAGAGGAGACCTCACCGTGATACTATCAAACAAAAGATTACATTCTTGTTGTCAATGTGGGTACGACAGCTGTGCGTGAATATTGTAAGGGGATTACCTAAAAAAACTTACGAGTTGTTATGGTAGTCCTGAAGAAACTCGGGATGCACTATTTCTCCGCTACTGGCTGCTCCAAACTGAGACCAGATCCCGACTGCGGCCATGGTGAAGTACTCACGGCACCATTTTAAATACTCACCGCTAGACAGAACCTGTCATTTGATGTTTTTCTTTTTCTCTTTTTGTTTCTCTTGAGCCTCACAAGATCAACTTTATCATATACTATCACATATTTCTTGGTAGATTAACTAACAATGTTTTGGTAACCAAAAATGCCAAGTTTACTGGATAAAGACACATCTACAAAGACATCGGTTACTGAACTAACTTCTGTATTCAGCTTCACATTAGGTTGTCTCAGTTTGACACGTTTTACTCGTACTTGTTTCCTATTACAGCCTAAACTGTACACTACTAGCTACGGCAATGACCACATTCGAATTAAACACTCGCTAGCTGGTAGCTATACAGCGCATACTCGGTACAGACCGCGCGCATTTTCACTGCATAAAGGGGCCGCGGTAGCAAAAACGGAAGAGAGAATAACATGCCAATCTATTCAGTCGTATTACCTTGGTTCTTTTCTCGCCATTAATTGTTTCTGAAGCGATAGATAGCTGAAGAATTCCTAGTGTATGGATCCACAATCTATTACAACTTTTATTTAACCAGCACTCTGAGAGAAACAAAACTTCTGTTCTCTAAATACAACTCCTTCAGTAATTGAGACGAGTAGGCAACACTTGGATACATTGGAACTGATAATGGCTGATGCGAAGTTCTTTCTTCTTGTAATGGTTGTAACAATAAGCCCGTTTTTCGCATGTTGTAAAATTGAAAATAGTCATACACAAGTGAAAGTACAATTATTAACATCAATTATCACCCTGCAGTAAAATTATTTTAAAAAATTCCCAAGTCACTGTGTTCCCCCAGGGAGGGGGGAGCGGTAAGTTTGCGAATATAGAACACTAAAATGCGGGATTCAATTCCCCATGGTGGACAGAGTGAAGATAACCCGTTGTGTTTGACTTAATTATTTAATACAAGTACTACGCGTATAATTGTATATTGTTATGTATAACAATATCTGTAATTGTTATCTTAAAAGGATTGGCTTTAACTACCTATACTCCTGTATTATTAGTTTCTCTATTGTATATTTATGGCAAAGCTTCTAAGGCTATCTGCCGCCGTCCATAATTTTCAACTACTAATCAGGCAGAAGTCAGCCAGTCATCAACACCCTACCACCCACGTTAATAGAACGGACTCATAGCTTAAAGTGCGGGGGGAAGTTTTGGTGTCACACTGATTCGAAACCGGCTCATTAACTCCAAAATCCAGGGCACTGCAGTGCCTAACTGCGCCCAACTATCCATAAAATAAAATAGTCAATACCTAAATATGTATTTTATCTTTATAAGTGATATAAAGGTATTACCAAAAAATGTTTACGTTGATTTAACATAATCTCTGTTAATCATCACCAAAAGATATAAAAGTAATTATTGCAGTACAGATTAAACTGTTGGTATATTTAATACCATTGTTCAATAAATAACATGTCTAAACAGCAGCATTGGTACTATGATTACACACCATTGCTTCTAATTACTTTAATTCTCTACTTTGTTTATTTGTTTTGTTGTTAAGCACAAAGTTACACAATGGGCTATCTTCACTCTGACCCCCGCTGGATTTCTAATGGTATAAGCATTCAGGCGTACTGCTGAGCCATCGGGGGCTAACCCTCTAGTACTGTTGTTCCTAATGACTTTAGACTTTAACCCACTATTGTTGTTGCTCTTAATGTTTTAACATTTTAACCTTCTACTATTGTTGGTCTTAATGACTTTAACCCTCTTGTACTGTTGCTCCTAACGACTTAAAACTTTAATCTTCTATACTGTTGATCTCAATTAATGAATTAAAGTTTTAATTTTATAGTACTATTCTTTAGCCTTGATGTTTAGGAGAGGTAAAGTACGGACTTAGAATTGGATTTTAATTACATTATTTGAACTATTTTGTAATTTATTTTATTTTTACAGCTCTACGGTTTCCTGGTTGTGACATATATACTTTTGTTCAGTTCTTCAACATGTTTGGTTTTTACAGTATTCTTCCACATTTCTAAGCTGTATTACTAGTTATTGGTTAAAAATGTTTAATTAAAATATCCACCTGACATCACGCGACAGGCAGTAAAATGTCATTAATCTAAAGTTAGCAGGGAAAAAAGAAAGGCTATTAAAAACATATTTGCTGTGCTGATTGAATTTTCGACACTTCAGATTCATCGCTATCCTTCTTGCTTTTAACCGGATTAGAAAAACAAGAAAACATAATATAACTTCCTATAGGAAACACTAATGTCTCATGTTTTTCTTAAATTCGTTTTACTCGACACACGTTTTTGTTAAATTTCTCTCCTACGAAAAGCTTTTTATAGTCGACGTCGATAGATAAATTCTATAATACGAAGACTTCTGTCTTAATGCTCCGATATCAAATCATACTTGCTCAACTTTATAACCATTTCATTTTCTAGGTGTTGTTGTATGAATATCGAATTTAAAAGGGACCATGTAGAAGTATTGATGAATGTTCTAATTTCCTCTTTTACAAACTCTAGCCGTGTCATTAAGCCACAGGAGATTGAAGAACATTTAAGTCTGTATACAAAGAATTCATATAGTTTGTGTGAAGGAAGTCAATGCATTGTGTTTGCAGAATCATTGGTAAGGTTTGTTGGAATTTGTGATATAAGAACATCAAAATATGCTGTTATTTAAACTTTTATATATCTCACTCATGCAAACGTTGTACAATTGTATTAGCATGCGATAGTTTTTGGTGCAACGAAAAATTTGAATACAAGTATTATGCCAAAAGACATAAACAAGTTGACTCTAGATGATTTTAATGGCTAAACATGCACACCCTTCATCATTTGAACTCTTCACCTCTGATGATGTACGTGCATGTTTAGCCCTAAACATTTAAGGTCAACTTGTTTATGTCTCTTGACATTACACTTGTATTAAAATATTTCGTTCCACTAAAAAACATTGCATATTCATTTAATATTATAATATGGTTGTTAAAATAACAGTGTTTTAACGCGTTGTATAGAATATATAGTGTACAACAACGTACTTAAATTATCTTTTGCCCTTGCTTAATTCTCGTTACGCTAGATTTTACATCTTTCTCGGTATGACTTCACAGTAATTCTTATGTTTTTATTTGTACATTTCAATATGATTAATGTCAGAATTGCTCTAAGGAGTTGTCACTAAATAAACAGTGTCATCTATACTAAAATGAAAGACATGCAGGACATGATTTCCTAAAATCACACTTTGACGTCCAGGTAAATACCGCAACTCATAAAATTAAGCATATGTTGTTTATAAGGTACGTTAAATCCTATTAAATTGCCTTTAAACATGAATGGTGAACGTTAGCTGCAGTGCATACCATCTGAACAACCCGTTTAACGCGTGAGAAGCCTTAGCTGCAGTGCATACCATCTAAACAACCCGTTTAACGCATGAGAAGCTTTAGCTGCAGTACATACCATCTAAATAACCTGTTTAACGCATGAGAAGCTTTAGCTGCAGTACATACCATCTAAACAACCCGTTTAACGCAAGAGAAGCCTTAGCTGCAGTACATACCATCTAAACAACCCATTTAATGCATGAGAAGCCTCAGCTGCATACCAAGTAGTTGTGATAGGTGGAAAACTGCAGACGTGATGGAAATCGAAAAATGATGTAAGTGGCCAGATCCGAACACTTAATATTACTGTTTGGGCTACCCTAAGGGTGCGTTCAAAGTTTGATAGATATACAAAAAATAGTACGGGGAACATACAGTGGTCCCCGATGATGTAATAGGAGGGTCAGATCCTATGTCGCTCTCCAGGTCTTAAGGGTATAGTCAAATTTGTTTAAGATCGGTCAAAAACTATAGCCACAAAAATCGGACACACATATAAACAGTGGCCCCCAGTGAGACCGAATGTTGATTCTACCCTCACATTTGGCCCTTCCCGGATGGTCACATGGGTGCATGTTAAGTTTGCTGGTGGTCAATCAAAAACTATAGGTTGAAAGTAGAACACACAGACAGACACTCAGATGATACTTCTGAAATGTATACATATATATATATATATATCTTTGCAAAGGCATCTTGTCACATAAATGTGGGAATGACGAGCAGTTGTTTTTTACAATAACACTTGCAGATACAATCACCCATCCTCATCTGCCAGTCCATTTATTCATCTGTCAGTGATACATTCATATTGCAATGAATTTCGTGATTCCTGGTCTCAAACTCAATACTTGTTTGTGGACGGATCCAGTTATCTTTTCCTAGTTCTGTATTATCATATCATGACATACTGTTACGTTCTCCAAGTTCTCTACAATCATACCATGACATGGTGTTGATATGCTTAAGTTATTCACTACGACGTTGCGAAAAGTGTATGATATATAGAAGTTTGCAACTCGGGTTTCAATTTTTTATTTATCAAAATCAAAAATAGAAATAAAGGAAAAGTTTCCCGAAGGTCAAAGAACATAACAAATTTTAAGTTTCTATAAATGACTGTTAATTTTCTGCTATTTTACTTATTCTCACCCTGTTTCTTAAAACGAAAAGGAACTGATACAGGCTTGATTCATTTCCTTACGGTATAAACCTAAGTACTTTATGATCATTATTGGTGAATTAATACCAAGGGCGTAATTTACTTTGGGGCAAGGGGAAAGTTACCCCGATCCTTGGTTCGATCCACCCAGACTTTATACGATATAATATAATCACAAATAAGATCCACAAAGGGATAAGAAAGTGCACTACGCGGAATTTTTCATACGCCGATACAACTTTGCCCCCCCCCCCCGGAATTACGCCAATGATTAATACATATGTCCTATAACTGATCTCATTCAGTTCTGAGTCTTGCTCATCCCCCTCTGTTAAAAACTGATTATCTGATTATGGCAAAACTTTCATATAGATCTAAGACAGATAAATGTTTTACACTCTTCACACTAAAGAAAAACTAAAAATACACTTAAACCTCGATGTTCTAGTGCTAACTTAGCACTTACTAGTACTAAGTCGTACCTATTGTACGTTGTACCTATTTTTAATTGTAATTGCATTTATTGTTGTATTCATTAATAATAAAGTTAGCTGAACAAACATTTTTGAGTTATCTTTTTTTCATCATTATTAAATAGCTATATTAATGTGTCTACATTTCTACGTACACTCCAACTAATTATTTTCTGCACACCAAACTTGTCTAAATGTACCACATACTGCACAGACATTGTCTTCTGCGTACTACTATTGTCTATTTATTCAACAATACGGTTTTACAGGCAGA